ATATTTTAAAAACAATAAAAAAGGGGCCCGGTGTCCCATTGCCTGTTTATTTCTCTTTAAAATGTGACCTCACCCAGGTTTTTAACTCAAATGGTTCCGGAGAAAAGTTGCGCGCAAGATGTTGAAGTAAAAATGTCCCAGAAGCCACAACCTTTCAAATCCAAACAATTTCCAATGATTCTATGGGTCTCAGGGGTCCGTAACTTATCGCATAAGCGAATTTCAGGTATCCGTATCTCGTAAACGGCTTGCGTTATAGGCGTTACGCATCTTATGACTTGTTCTCCTGCGCATTTCTGAAATTTGTCATTATGTGCACGCTTTTAACTAGCCAATAACGCGAGATAATGGTTAAACGTTTAGCTTAAATGATAAGTTACGGACCCCTGATGGGTCTCTCTAATGTTTTATAAATTGTCAGATAGTTGAACTAGTGAAGGGAAACCTCACTTGGGCGAAATTTAGTCATTATTAAATTTTTTTTAAGATAAGTAAAAACAGGTTAAATTCTAAGGTTCAATGGGTATTTCCCACCTTAATACTCAATTTCAAATCAGATGAAGTCTTGGGATATCTCGATTGTTTTAGCAGCGACCAATCGTTCCACTTTCGGACAACCATACCAGGACAAATGACAGTACGAAATGATAACACCCCAAAACCAATCCTTCTAAAATATTGGGGCAACTATATTTTTACCCAACTTTGTTCTTGTTGGATTTTAACTGTGAGCATTCAGATTCGTGCAAACAATTATTTCTTAAACCTTTCCTTAAGTTGAGTCTTACCTGTCCAGATGAACCGAACCACTCGTTGGCAATGTTGATTATGACGTGGTCCTCGAGCCCTTTCAGAGTGGATGCCAAACTAATCCAGTAGTCAGCAGCACGACGCAACTTCGCAAAATCGTCCGAACCGGTAGCGTCATGCACCTGGAATGAAAACACCGGCATAAACCTGAATTGCAAATAATTTTCAAAGTGCTCAAACCAAGGGGTGGATAACTCCTGAATTTGGTGTACAAATTTCAAGAATTGAACTGAATCGGCTTAAATTGGCTTGAATTGAACTTGAATTCGACTTAATTGGTTGAATTCTTTTGAAATTGGTATGAATTATCGCGATTTTATTTTACTGAATAGCCGTGAATTGACTTGAATTGGCCTGAATTAGTTGAATTATTTCTGAATTTATTTGAATTAAATTGAATTGGTCTGAATTATTTTGAATTAGCAGAATTAGGGTTGAACACTTGGCAGGGGAGTTGATCCACCCCTCAGCTCAAAAACATAACATTTTGAATTATATGGTGGCGTGAATGAAGAGTGATATTTTCAAAAAAAATCGATTTAAGAGCCGTACTGTTCCTCTTCAGTCCCAATCGAGGGTTTGAAATTCTCTGTAAAATTCTCATGTTCTATCTGCAGAGTACTGAATACACAATGTTCTATCTATAAAACGCGGGTTTCGAGACACCTCCAAAGAAATGCTCATTGCCGCTGCTTATTGCTGCTTATAACCGCTCGTTCTACTTCACTTTTTGCAGTCAATAATGAATCATTGGACCTTTACGATTCTTTCCGTGTGCGCAGATTGGCCTTAATGTCTTCCAGTTACTTGCAAACCACACAAAGGTGAAAGGCTGCGCCCAACTCCGTGCATAGCAGATAGAACATTGTTGTTGGGACGCATCGATTTTTATATACAAGCGGAGCCCTTCACGCCATTCTCACTAAAACGACGCGGGAAGTTGGTAGCAGAGAGTCCGCTGTTACAAAAATATGGCCCGACGCTTAACGGATGTAAACGCCGCCATAACTATCCAAGACGTCGTACGTCGTAGTCGGGACCTCCGAGCGTTGAAAATTAACCATTTAATTCTAGAATATGGTTAAATTTGTGAATAAATGCCACACGTAGTGAGGACAAGTGTCGCTGAAAACATTCTGCGCAAATTCACTGGCAGTCAAAGTTGAAATACGGAACACATACGGCACCCGCAACCCGTTGAGTATGTATGCGCCACGAACATGTTCTGTACGTGTGCATACAGAACACATATGACTACCGCATCTGTTCGGGAGGTTTGCCACAATGGAGTCCGTATGTGCACATACGGGACATGTACGTAGGTATGCGGTCTGTACAAATGTATACCGTTTATGTGAGGCATACATCCGCAGCGTATGTACCGGAACGCAAAATCGTCTACATACTGATCGTATGTACCGGGCAGAGCATACACTGACTACATACGAGCCTTATAGGTTACGTGTATGAACACATGAAGATCGTACATGGAACGTGTAAGGTTCGTACACGGGTCGGGTTTCATTGGGAACGAGTTGGGAGGAAAATGTACTTTGAATGACACATACCTCTAAGATTGCGACGAGCTTGTTCTGCTTGCAGATGTCCAAAATTCGGCGCACACTCGCTGCGTCGTCGTACGTGTACTGGCCCCCATCAGACAGCACGATGCGGATCACGTTTGCACCGGTGGCGGCAATGGCGGGGATGGCTGTTTCGGCATCTCCTTTGTACCAGGTGTGGGCATAGTTGATGCCCCGCATGACGAAGGGTTCTTGATTGCGATCAAGGACAGTTGTGCCTTGGTGGAAACAACGGCGAGTGTGAACATCAGGTTGAGGCCAATTCATCGACACTTTTGACTCGCCGAAACTTAAGTGCTCTGCACATTACAATCTAGGGGACATCAATTTTGGGAGAAGTGTGTGCGTTTCGTTCTGATGTGCCGTAACAACGTTTTGAGACAAGATATGATACAGTTATTTCTATGTTTTTCAAGTGATACTACGCACTTCTGTAAGGCCTATCTGCAGAATGCAACAGTTAAATGTTACTGGGCAAGCGCTAGCGAAGCCTTTGTAAACATTTTTTGGGGGTAAAACCATCTCTTTGTTTTTCTGTATAATTTCACGCGGGGGTTCCCTCACTTCCAAAATAGGTGAACAACGTTCGGGTTGGCGAGTTGATGAGTTGTCGCGAGTAAGGAGCAAGCTGGGATCAATGTTTTCCGAGTTTTTCGCGAATTTAGAGCGAATTTTGGAGCATTACCGCAAATTTTTGTGATTTTGTCGCGACTTTGACGTGAGTTGGGCGTGGGCAAAGGTTGTCTTGGAAAGAGGTGTTTCTTCCGCAGGACACATTGCAAAAAATCGCAACTCGATCGGTGGCGAACGCAGGAAACATCGACTTTCCGCTCCTTTAGCTTCCCGTC